AGGTGGTTCAAGCACCTACATTGAACACCTTCAAGAGCAAATTGGATGCTTATCTTGCTGGGATCCTATGACCCCAGCTGACTTCCTGCTCTTTGGGCGGGGGGCTGGACTCGATCTTCCAAGGTCCCTTCCAGCCCTAATGTCTATGAAATGTATGGTTAGTGGTGTTTCAAGGCCTTGTTGTAGGACTACTTCTCTATTGTCTACAAATTTAATTTCTTATGATTCATTAGAGATGAACACAAAAGAACTTCTGTTTGCTATTTTGCATTCAATTGCTCATGCTAAATATGTGTAGACCTGTGCAATAAAGCCTATAACATGTGTGCTTAATCTTGTGGGTGGGTGGGTGGAAAATGGGTATATTCATGTTTGTTAGGCACATGGTTTTTTTTCTTACCCATGTACATCAGAGAGATGTAACCTTTGGTGATCTGAATCATAACATTTTAAAAAAAGTGTCTTTTAAATAGTATCATTTAAAAAAAAATTGAAAGAATACTTAAATATTCCATTTTTTCCCCCAGCTTGTCAAGTAATTATGAAGCTCAAATGAAGAGTCTCTTAAGGATCGTGAGGATATTTTGTCATGTCTTTCGCATTGGCCCATCCTCTCCCAATAATGGAAATGACATGGGCTACAATGGAAATAAAACTCCAAGAAGTCAGGTGTTCAAGGTCAGAAAAGTATATGATTTTGTTAGGAAGATAGACGTGAAAGTGATAACTTTCACAAAGCATTTATTCATTAATCAGACATCTCATGAAGTAAGTTTGTTTGATTACACTACTCATTTTTAAGTTAGCTGTACCTCTTTGCTTTTTGTGTAATGATTTTTACATGAGCTCTATTTAACCATGGCTTACTACATCTCATTTCGTTCTTCTTGTTCTTTATGTTCTCTAATATGTCATTTTATACGGCATATAAATGCTTTGATACCTTGGCTTTAGCAAGACTTCGATATGGTCTCCTGCAATGTTCTCTTAAGCAACCTATGGAAGTATGGGTTGGATGAATGGACTGTAAGAGGGAACGGCTGGATTGACTAGTTGCCAGCCTTAGTGCTCTAGGGTTCGGTCATGTGGCCAGTTTTGTTCAATGTCTTCATCAGTGATCAGGAAGGTGGGATGGAGTGCAGCCTTAACAAGTTTGTGGTTGACACCAAGCTGGGTGGAATAGCAGATATGCTGAAGGGTAGGGCAAGCATTCAGAGCGACCTAGACAAATTGGAGGATTGGACCAAAACAAATCTCACGAAGTTCAATAAGGTCAAGTACAAAGTCCTGCACTTAGGACGGAACAATCCCATGCACTGGTTGAGGCTGGGACTGACTGGCTAAGAGCAGCTCTGCAGAAAAGGACCCAGGGGTTACAGTGGACAGTAAGCTGAATATGAGCCAACAGTGTGTCCTTATTGAGAAGCAGGCTAAGGGCAAAGTGGACTGCATTAATAGGAGCATTGTCAGCAGATTGAGGGAAGAGTTTCTTCCCCTCTATTTGGCACTGGTGAGGCCAAATAGTTTTGGGCCCCCTACTACAGAAAGGATGTAGACAAATTGAAGAGTCCAGCAGAGCAACAAAAATGGTTAGAGGGCTGGGGTCCATTACTTATGAGGAGAGGCTGAGGGAACTTGTTTAATTTGGAGAGGAAAAGAGGGAGAGGGGATTTAATAGCAGCCTTTAACTACCTGAAGGATGGTTGCAAAGAGGATAGAACTAGACTGTTCCCAGTAGTGGAAGATAACAGAACAAGGAGTAATGGTCTCATGTGGCAGCAAGGGAAGTTTAGGTTAGATATTAGGAAAAACTTCCTCATGCAGTGTGTCGTAAAGCACTAGAACAGGTTACCCAGAGAGGTGGTGGAATCTCTGTCCTTAGAAATTTTTAAGACCCAGCTAAACAAAGCCTTGGCCGGGATGATCTAGTTGGGGATAATCCTGCTTTGAGCAGGGAGTTGGCCTAGATGTCCTCCTGAGGTCCTTTCCAGCTCAAGTTTTCTATGATTCTATAATTACCAAGCTATGTTTGTGAAATAATTGCTTTTCTTTCTGTTTTTAGTAGTATTTCTGAGTATTCTCAGTGTTCTAAAACAGAGCTTCTAGGTGACTGGGTGCCACATTCCCCTGAATCCATAGTAAAGGCTGCACCAGTGTGGTGGGGACCATGGGTTTTGGGGCTACAGATTAACCCCTTGCAGGCCTCTTGTGGCCTGTGGGCTGACAGTTGGACAGCCATGCTCTAAAACTAAGAAGCCTTCTCCTGTTCCTTCCTGCCTCCTTTCTTCCCTGTTGCACTTCTTGCCTAGGAAGCTTCCCATTGCACTGCCTTCCTGGCCCCTCTGCTGTACCACATGCCTCCCTGCTGCTGCCCACCCACTGTACCAGGCACTCCCCTCTCTGCTGCTCCCTATATCTCCCCACTGCACTGTGCACCCCAACTCATTCTTAGCCCTTCTGAAGCAAGCTTCCCTACACTCACCACTTGGGCACTCTTGGCCACAGGCTCCCTGGAGACTGCTATGCTGTACTGCCCTGCTCCCTGGAGCAGGGGTAGGAGGAGGAAGGGAAAGCCAGAGGGATGGGGAGCCTGGAGCTCCTGTCTGCTGCTACAGCTGCAACAGTAGAGGGCAACAGCAGCTGTGTGGGAACCCAGGGCTACAGATTAACCCCTTGCAGGCCTCTTGTGGCCTGTGGACTGGCAGTTGGACAGCCATGCTCTAAAACTAAGAAACATGATAGATTCAGTATCTGTAACTCTAAATTAATATTTTGAAGCAATTCAAGTTTTATTGTTTTATTTGATCTAACTTCTTGAAGTAGATGCAATTTTAAGTCAGTTTTTAATCTATGGGTTATTTTTACTTTAATCATTTTCCAGAGGCAGTATTATTTAAGAATATTAATATTCAATGAATTAAAATTTATTGTTTCACTGCTGCCTTTAAACCTTTGCTGTAGCTACTGGCTTGTAAAAAATTTCATCTTTGAAGGTATATTATTACACACATGCTACATGTATGATGGTTTGTTTTGTACAGCATTTCAATTTGCTGTTAACCCGATGCCTTCCTTTTAAAACAGCTGTTTAAAAAAAAAGTCTGTCAGTTGTATTTTCTTTCATGTGCATGTCATTTTAGCATTAAGTAGTGTATTTATGGTGTAAGATTAATACATTAACAGGGATACAGCAGTCCCAAAACTGGATATTCAGTCGCGCTTTGTAAGGGTTAAGTATTAGTTTATTTTATTTTGTTGAACAGCTTCTGCTGAAACAAGGAAAGAAATTGGATAGTTTAAGAAGATATTTCTTAGTAATATTTTAAAACCTGGTTTTCAAATAGGTTATTTAATTCTTGATAGTAATATAGTTAGAAGCAGGATGAATCATGACTGTTGTCATGAATTAAATCAACATTAAACCAAATTGTGTATATTTTAATTTTGCTTGACCTTTGTACTACTTTAAATTTTTGTTAATTGGTAACTACTAAACCACCTTGGTAGTTTTTACATTAAATTGGCAGCTTTTTACTAACCAAAAGGAGACAAACACTTATCCATGCACATCTGTTTAAGCAGCTAGAAAGACAATTTTTCAGGAACATTTTTAATTTTTACTTTTTTTAATGTTTGGAACTGAGAGTAGTACATGTCTTTTACTAGATGATCATTAATATTTTTACTTGTGATATTTTTCAGGCTGATTTGGATGGGAGACAGGCATTCATTTAAAATCCATAAATGCAGTGTTACAGAAATTGCTTATTAAATTTTTATTTAGCTTGATCTCCATCCTTTTTTCTTTATGGGCTGTGTTGGAAAATATGAGATTCTTTGTAAAAAGATTGCTAATGCAACTATACTCTCTTCTTCAGTTAAATCCTATTTCACTTGAATATTTTGATATGTAGCTGAATGTTGCTAAACATTTCATCCCACATTTGTTTCACACACTTAATTACCTCCCTTTTCAGCTAAGTGTAGTAGCAGTGTGTAATATGTAAGGCTTATATTACAGAATTGACAATATTTTCTGAAAGTACATTAATACATGCTTTATAAAGTATGTATGACTAATCTACACTTTCCAAAGAAATGACCAAAATATATTTAAGTAGGTGATATCATAGGTTTTTGATTAATTGACAGCACTGAATTTTCTTTTCTTTTTTTTTTTTTTTTTGCTTGGGGGTTTAATTGAATTTATCTGTAATTAAAATCTTAAGATTAGAAGGAACAATTCTTCCTTGAATTTTGCTTGGTCTCTTTAGTACTTTTAAGACTAGCTGACCTCCACTTTTTTCAAGGTGTTAAATATAAATTACAGGAAAGGGTTGAGTCTGCCCTAGCAAGAGAGAGGGCTGAATTAAAAATCCTGACTTGTATGTTGCAAACAGTGTCCCCCTTTTGGATTTGGAGTATTTGTGTTACTGGAGTCCCAAGAAACCTTTGGGTCCTCCTACGTATTGATTTTGACTCTTTCTTATCCTTAGCTTAAAATACTGCCATTGATCTTAGAGTTCGGTTCTAAGGGATAGAGGCCAAAATGTTCTGACTTTGTTACAGAAGTATTAGTAGTCTCTTAAGTAGTTGATTTGCAGACCAACTGGGGCTTTGCAAATACAAAACATAGAAGAGGAGGGAACAAATGCAAAGGACTTGAATGTTGTGCTCCTTTTAGGACCTGTGCAGAGCTTTTACCATGGGTGTTACAACAGCCTACCATATTCTTTTCAAGATTTGTTTTACAGCAGATACCTTCTTCATGGGATAAAGCAGTTAAGTGTCCTCTGGGAAAGGTAGTTGTAGAAACTTCTGTTTGGGAAAAACAGGTGTCTTATGCCATGTTGTATTTCACAGTCAATACAAACCATGTGTTGCTGTGTGCTGAAGTTGAGGACATAAATTTGATTGTTGGTGCCTAGGCTGTGCACCACTTTTTTCGTAGGCTAGTGGAAAGTGAAGGTGAATATATTTAATTGAAATATACACAACAGTGGGCTGTCTTTGGCATTTAATAACATTGATGCCTGACTCAAGGAAAGTTGTTTTTAGATAATATAACAAAGGGGAAAAGGAACCTTTCCTGAAATCAAATTAACCGTTAGAATAATTAAAAAAAAAAAATATGACAGCCTTCATTTGACAGTCAATATGACAGCCTTCAATATGACAGACAAAGCTAAGCAGGTACCTTAGCTTTGTCTTGGTTGAAGATGTCCAGACAGCTAACCTGCCTAGGCGTGCTCATTGATGCTAGAATAAAATATGGACAGCCTTGAATGAGGATGGCAGGAATATGTATATAAAATGCCAAGTTAAAAAGCTGTACTAGCAAAACAATAATTTAAACTGTCTAATCATGACATTGAGTACATCCCTTGAATTTAATTAAGATCCTGAGAGATATTGAGTTGAAAAATGGAAATAATTTAGTATGACAAGTCAGATGCGTATATCTAGAAGGCATGGTAGGAATTAAAAGAAGAGTCCTCAGACACCAGCAGAGAAAGGAGTCTCACAAGCTTAAAATCTGAAAAGTTTAGAGGAAGAGATGAGAAAAAAATAAAGGTATTCCAGGAAATGCCTGTCTGTCTTAGTCTTGGTGAATCTCTCTCTCTTCATACTTTTTTTGTACATTCAATACATCTTGTATTTAAATTAGAACCTTTGTTTACATTATGTTGTGGTAAAGTTTGATTGTGCATCTTTGTAGGGAAGCCAGCCTTTTTTGATCTTATGTCAGATGCAGCTGGGGAGAAAATGGTACCTATACTGGCACACTCAGCTGAGGTAACCCCAAAGAAGCACCATCCAGTTATTGGTGTGATAAGTAGGAAAACAAGAGGAAAAAGAGTAAGTTTTAGAAATGGAGTACTAAAAAAATTCAGGGGGGGAAATCTGAATTCTTTGAATACTCCTATAAAGAATGCTTTAAAGTGTGGGAATGACCTGATACATGTGATAACATGTTTGTATTCAAGAGGTGTCCATCGTTCAGTAGGAGTTCAATTCTCAAATCATAGTGTCTGTTAAGTAAACCCTCTATCAGCTTTTGAGGCCCAGCCTGGTCTTCTGTCAAACCTGTGCCAAATTTCTGTTGGAAAGTAACCTCTGTAATTTCTTGAGTATCAGGATACAGAATAAAGATTTAACATTCTAAAGGGGTAGACTTGTATTATGTGCTGTGCTCATAGCTGGAAGGATGTTTGTTCCCCATAGCTTGGTCAGACCAGTAGAACAGCCAGTCTTTAATGTTTATGGATAGCTGTTTGCATTTGAGATTACTATTAGAGGTGCACCAATACATCAGTCCAATATCGGATTGGTACCAACATAAAGAAAACTGGCTGTATTAGGTATTGGCCTGAGGGGGCTGATAATTTGGCTGATAAAATGCGCGTGCTGTGTGCAGCCGCAGTGCAGCACTCAGGCAGTGTGGAGAGCTGCCTCCAGGTGGTAAGTCCGGTGTGGTGGAAGGCGTGTGGGGTGGGGGGCAGATCAACGCCTCCCCGTGGTGAGGAAGGGGGCAGGCGCTGTCTGGGCAGGGTGGGTGTGTGGGGGGGCAGCTCCCACCACTGCTTGTACCCGGGGGGGTAGGGTGTGCCCCACCAGATCTGCGTGGGGTGGGGTAGGCTGCAGCTGGGGCTGCGTGGGGCTCTTCTCGGCGGGGGCTTGGCTTGGAGTGGGCTCCAGAAGCCCTGGGAGGATGCTGCATGCACCCCAAATTTCGCCTTCACTCCCGGTACTGCCGCAGCCAGCTGCCCGGGACAGCCCTGGCTCTTCCCAGCGTGTGGGTAGAGACAGGTCATTGAGCTGGAGCAGTGTTGGGTGGTTGGCAGTGCTGGGAGCTGAGCTGCAGTGAAATTTGGGGTAGATGTAGAATCTTCCCACCACCGCTGCAGCCTGCCCTGCCCTTCGCAGTTCTGGGGGCACCCCCTCCATGCCCTCCCAAGCCGCAGCTCTGCTGCTGCTGCCCCACCTGGGCAGTGCCTGCTCCCTCCCTCACTGTGGGGGGGGGGGGGG